TCTGCATCGTGAGTTAAAAGCCATTTTAACACCCTTAATCTCTCAGCAAGATCCTTAAATTCCAGAGTGGATACTTACTTGTTTTAAACCATTGAATTTGGAGACAAAGATAAAGTATTCCTCCCTAAAAAATACTGCAATGGGTATCTTTCTTGTAAAATTTGCAATAGCATTATGAATATCTGCCTACATTCTTTCTTAAATTCTAATTTCTCTTCTATTTAAGAATTGAAGAGAACTTAGCATTTCAGTACTGTTCACATGTCAATTTGGTATACTTCTAGTTGGTTATTTAATTTCTCTATTTCAATCTTTGGTAAACTAAATGCTGTTGTAACTTCTTTTAAAAAGTTTAGTTTGAGAATCATTTTCATCAAATTTTGCAGCATATTTTCTAAACTGTTCAATAAAAATGCCACCATAGGTCTGTCTGTTTGAAATAGAACTAGGAATCATTATAATTTTTTAGCAAGATCTTTAAAAAAATGCATTCACAAAGGTACAAACTTGTAAAGATAATGATCTAAAAGTTTGTTTTTGGGACGCCTGCTTTTGCAAATTGATTTATAATAACACAAGCCTACTAAAAATTTGCACAAGAAAGAATTGCTCATAATTGTCATTCAAATTATATTATTGTTTCACAACTGATCAAAGAAATAAGGATAGCAATAATAGATCACCTTATAACTGAAAGTGTCCCATAATCAACAGCATAGCGAATTAGGCAAGCAAAGAAGATTTTTAAAGTATTTTAGACTGAAATCTGGTAACTTAAGTTGAATTCTCTTTTTCGTGTAGTTAAGATTTTTTGCTTTAAAATCATTGGAATAGACTCTCTGTTTTAGGTGAGCCCAAAATGTTTCAATGGGCCTTAATTTTGGAACATTTGGTAATAATCATCCTTAGAAATATATTATAGGTTATATTAAACTTTTAATAGGTTTCAATTATTAGCTTTGCATAATGACAGCTTGCACCATTGGGCCAAAATGTATATTTCAGGCTTGGTCGGGAAGCGGGTGTGATCGCACTCGATAACTGACCACGGAAATAATACTTAGTTGTGAAAAACCGGCCAGATTTTTTAGTCATTTTAAGAAACATTCAAGTTCACGTATGTTTCCTTGTTTGTCCGCAAAATAATTATTAAGTTATCGTAAATCTTAGAATATTTTGTATTACGGACTTTCACAGAAACATATACAAACTCAAATGTTCTCAAACTTTGTGCGGAAAAATAAGAAAAAAATATTCGCAAACACAAAAAACCCACCAAATCTACTAACAACTAATTCTATTGGTTCAAAAAATACCAACGGAAATTTCTAGAGTGTTCAAAAAATACTAACCGAATGTTCTAGAGTATTCTGTTGAATTATTTTAAAAAGTTGTATTATTTGAGTTTTGTTATGTTTTCGTCGAGATTTCTAGCATAAATTGTTTTAACAATAAGTTCAAACAAACTTTTATTTTAATATTATGTCATTCTCGAAGCCACATCTAACAAAGCTATAAATGTTTTAAATTAACATTAATTGTTTGCAAAAATAAATGTTTTAAATTTATGTTTTTAAGTTCTTAGAAAGAAAAGTTTTTAAGTTCTTAGAAATTGGTTAACTAACTTACAAACTCGTTATACTTAAGTCTTTTCTGTTTTAAATACTTATTAAAATTATAAAGCCCACTCACTAAACATTATCAGCGGTAATGTGAAGCTGTTCCGCTTCCTCCTCACTAAGTAATTTAACGCTTTTAGTTAATTTCTATCTAGTTAATTGAATTTCTACAGTAACTCAATGATTTAATTATTTCATTTGTTCATCTTACTAAAAAGAATAGTTTTAAATGTGTTAAACTTTTCAAACTACGCGAAGCATAAAACAGTTATTAAAAAAACCTTAATATAATTTATAAATAAATCATCTAGAGTTAGTTTTACTGGTTGAATCTTGTTGGACTTTTCAGGGCCGCGGGCTGCATTATTTTAGTAGCATTTATTATGTGCCACAGTGTAAAAATGACTAAAAAAAATACCGAATGGTCCTTTTGACTATTTTGCGGCCTCTAAAATTGTGAGTTCCGGGGCTATAGCCCTTCTACCCCATCCCCCTCTCCCCCACTTCCTCAATCCAGCACTGGAAATAAGACATAAGTATATAAATAAAAATTTTATACTCGTTGATAAATTAAAGAACATTTGTTTCCTTATTAAACAATCATTAATAGTAAGTTGATCAATAATAGTAAGTTACTTTATATAAAAAATGTCGCCTAATTTTATAAAAAAAATTATAAAAGAACGACGTTTCAAAAATATTTGCTCTAATCGTATTTTTTTGCTTAAAGTATTTTTGCGTTGTTTTCTTTTTTAACTGTCTCTCAATGGTCCAGTTAATCTAGTTGCGCTTTATTGTTTGTTTTTAAAATGTTCTCAAAACGAGTAAAAAATCTGGCTGGTTTTACGCAACTAAATATTATTTCCGTGGTCAATTATCGAGTGCGATCGCACCTGCTTCCCGACCAAGCCTGATATTTTATATTTTTGTAATGCAAATTGATTAAGGAAACAATTTTTTTTTCGATGCATTCTTTGAAATATATTTTTGAATCAATGGCATTATTCTTAATTGCAAAGAAAAGCTTTGATTTACTAAATCTACTGATTGCAATCCATACTAAAACTTTCGCTTGAAACTTTGATTTAAACTTATATTTAATATTATTTTCAGTTTTGTCTTTATCTTGACTATAAAAGCCATCAATTCCTGGTGTGTTTTGGCTGCTGAATGTTAAATAGGACTTGTCATCCATGATAAATTCAATTGATGGTTGACAAAAAGTTTTACCATGTTTTAACAGTCGCTGTTTTTGTTTAATTATTTGAATTTCAGAGCTTTCTGGTACTTTCTTTCTTTTAAAATATTTAAGTCCATGCATGTTAAAAATTTTATAAACAAAACTTCTATGAATTCCATATTTTAATGCAAGTTTTCTCTGGGAGATTCCAACTTTATTTTCAACCTTTTTAATGAACTAAGTCATTTTTTTTATGTCTATTTTGTATGGTTTGTTGCTGCTTCGCGACTTTCTTTTGAGGTCAATATTGACATCAAATTGTATTATAAATTGTTTGCCTTCCAATCTTCATTTGAATAAAATGATGCACTGTAAATGTTTTCCTTTTGTCTATGTTATCTAAATAGAAGTTTCCAATAAGCTTTCGTTTGTCATTTTCTTTAATTCCATCCCTTTTATTTATATAATTTTAATTGCCAAAACTAGTAACAAATTATGAAATAAAAATGTCTAGAGAATATATTTAATTTCGAATTGCAGAAATATTCGAATTTGTTTGCGAGTTTCGAACGTTCAAATTTTGTGCAAATTTTTAGTAGTCTTGTGTCATTTTATAAATTTAATCATGTTTGGCCATCCAACAATTCCTCTAGAAGCCACAGATTCATCTTCTACACAGTGAGTTGTACAGAAACTGCATCATAACAATATAAAAATTATTAAAGCTGAACTACTCTTAAATTATATGTGTATGCATGTATGTATGTTTGTATGTATGTATGTATGAATGTATGTATGTATGTATGTATGTATGTATGTATGTATGTATGTATGTATGTATGTATGTATGTATGTATGTATGTATATTATTGCTGTCGGTAAGGCACCGTGAACAATATGCAAACTGCAACCCTCTATATTGACTATACCACAATATTCTTTCTCTGTCCTGTTTATCTGACATTTTCAAAACCTCCCAATTAACATGAGGACCACCCATTGATACTTGAATTAGTTTTCCAAGATCAAACACCTCTGTTGCTTCATTGAGTTTGTCAAATAAATTTTGTGAATTAGGGTGCCTAAGGAATTTTGAGTCAATATATCTAGCTTTTACAACACCAGAACTTAAATTTTAGTATCTAACTTGTAAATCAATTTGTTCATTTATGAAGATAACATGCATACTCTCATTATATGAAAAAATAAAGATTAATGACGCTCTGACATCAGAGAAAAGCTGGTCTCTATAGTATGGTGCTAACCCAAAATTAATAAGATAACCACATTTTGTTTTGCTTAATGCAAACTTTGATGGTATTGTGCTGTCAGAGAATATGAATTTGATTATTTAATTTATATTTAAGTACAGTCTTAAACAAAATTGTGACATTGCTACATTCAAGCTCCATATTATTTCTGCCATGGTAACCAGAGCTGGAAATCAAAGATCCTCAATAGTAGGCTAATATTTAGTTTTTTTTTTTAACTTTAAATTAGTAGAACTTTTATGTAAGTTACTGATAGCTAGTTAATTTGCTAAAAGCTTTCCAAAATTCAGGTAAACATATATTTAAATAAAAGTAAAAAACTTAAATTAAAATAAAAAACTAATGCTGAAATAAAAAACTAAAAAAATCTGCTGCATTATGTGTATTTGCATTAAATTTATGCTTCTTACCAGTTGAGTGAGAATCCAAGGCAAATACTCCAATGTTAGAAAAGCAGATACTTGTTAGAAATATAAATATCTGTTCGGCAATAACTATAGCTTGCTTTTTTAGAGTTTTAAATAGAAAATTTTACCCAAAAAAGAATACTTTTTGTTGTATAGCCATTCTGTTTGAAAAAGACAGTTCTTTGTCTTAGGCATTATATAATATATTTTTTAAATAATTACAAATGTTAATAATACTTACAGTTACAAAAGTTCTTTTGCATTTCAGAAAATACATTATTAATAAATTCAATAGAAATCTATGCAATATCAATAATATATTTCTGTAAAAGGTAAAAAAAAGATATATTGAACTATTTCAGAAAAAAGTTCAAGGATTTCCAGGATTTATTGCTAAAAGGGGTGTTTTTCCAGGACTTTTCCAGGACCTATCAAATTCCAGGACATTTCCAAGTTTTCAAGGTTTTCAAGGACCTCTGGCCACCCTGATTATTGAGTAAAAGAATGCACATAAAAAACAAACCTTCTAAATCTGTTTCGACAAATGTTGGAGATAAATTTGGTTTATGAAGGAAACTTTGACTTGCTTTACTAAAGTTATTCTGAACTGCCTAAAAACCACATACCATTTATAGTTCAAATTATAATTAATCTTTATATAACAATTTATACATATACATAATAAAAAAATTTTAAAAACTTAAAAAAAAATTAAAAAAAAAATCTTTTCCAATAAGAAAAGAATCTTTTATTATAGGTCACACTTCAGGCCAGGTCTATAAAACCTTTAATATTAAAAGTGTGCGCTTAAATTTTTTCATAAATAATAAAAAAAAAATGAAAAAGTTTTTTTTTCTGAAGGAGACCATTATCATATCTAGATCAAAGGTGAACTTTGAGCTTTTTCTTAGTGTCAGTATACGTTTTAAAAATGTGTTAGAGTGGGTCTCCTTTTCCTTAGCGCCGGCATACCTTTTGAAAAGTAATGTCAACAGAAACCTTTTTGGTGAGTCAAATGCTGTAAAGATTCACATTACAAATTACAAATTAAAAATAAAGAATTTGGGTACAACATAAAAAATAGCATAAGGCATAAAAAGCAACTTTTTTATTTTTTATCTAAAATTTAAGTTTATGGAATAAATATTAATCTTTTTAAATTAAGTGAATTAATTAAAAATGTTTCTTATTATAAATCATAGATAATTTAAAAAATATTTTTTAGAATACTATTAAAAATATTTAAAAAGACTTAAAAGGTGTTTATGCTCTCCTGCTAGGTCTATCTCTGAGAAATTTTTTTTTTGTAATAAATAATATGACCTCTTTCAGTTTAAATCAAACACGTTGCTTTTTAATACTTGAAAAATATAATTTCGTTTTTCCATTACATGAAACAAAAGTTGGTAGACAAATCAAATCTGCTTCAAAAGTATTAGAAAATTGATATTTTTAAATTGAAAAATCAGTGGGGAAAAAGTTGAAGTTGAGGAGATAGATGTATGATGCTGTTTTTATTAAGAGCATTGCTGATTTCTATTTTTATATTGGAATATACGGAACAAAAACAATAAAAATTAAATCAATTAAAAAATTCTAATGGTAAAAACTCTAGGAAAAACCTTAGAATATTGTAGAAATTTAAACATATTTACTATATATTATACATAATATATAGTAAATATGTTTAAATATTATGTAGAAATTTAAACATATTTACTATATATAAACATATTAACTATACCTTTTTTCTACCTCCATTAAATTTACTTTGGTGAAAGATCTCAAACTTTTGAATATTTTTTAGTTAAAAATTTTTTGAATTAAAAACTGATAGAAGATATAAAAATACAAGAATTTTGTTTAGTAAAAAATATTTAAGACTTTTAAACCAAGTGTGATTAAAGTGTGATTAAACTGTGATTGTGAAAAAAAGTGTGATTAAAATAAAAAATTCTTTAGTCATCTTTATGATGACTAAAGAAAATTCTGTGGATTTTATAAAAGATATCAAAAAAAAGAAATTAAAATAAATATATCGCTAAAAAATAATCAAAATTACATAACAAACTTTTGTATAAAAAGTTCACAAGTAAATATTTATTCAAAAAAACTTACTGAGACAGTCTTTTTTTCCATCTTTTGTTTAATGAACTTTGAATTGGTAAATGTTTCCATTGCAAACTTTTTGCTATACCTCTTTGTTTTTAATGTTGTAAAAAAAAAGATTTGTCCACCAAAAATAAAATTAAAAATAAGTAAAATTTGACTATTATTACAAATAACAACCGGTACAAATATTAATTAGTAAATAAATAATGCCATTGGTATAAACTTATTTTCAAAACTTTTTTTAAACTTTAAATAGACTAAAAATACAAAAAATTAATATTTATTTTTACTTAATTATATATATATATATATATATATATATATATATATATATATATATATATATATATATATATATATTTATATATATATATATATATATATATATATATGTATATATATATATATATATATATATATATATATACACATATATATACATATATTTATATATATAAAAATATATATATATATATATATATATATATATATATATATATATATATATATATATATATATATATAATATATATATATATGTCATTTAGTTAAAGCATAAACAACAATTTTTTTTATTCATTTGAAAATGTCAAACTTTGTGCCAGATAAAGTGTATTTGAGGGGTGTTCTTCTTCATTACTTTAATATGAAGAAAAGTGTTGCAGAAAGTCATTGTATCTTAGTGGAAGTTTATGATGATCATGCTCTAGCTGAAAGAATGTGTCAGAAGTGGTTTGCACAGTTTCAAAGTGGCAATTTCAACTTGGAAGACAAAGAACAACCCGAACAGCCAAAAAAAGTGTAAAGATGAAGAATTGGAAGTATTGCTTAAAGAAGATACGTGCCAAATGCAAGAAGAACTTGCAAAATCATTGGAAGTCACTCAAGCAACCATTTCAAAACGTTTAAAAGCATTGGGATTCATCCAAGCTTAGAAATTGTGTGCCGCATGAATTAAATTTAAGAGACATTGAAAGGCGATTTTGTATGTCGCAAATACTGTTTGAACACCATCAAAAGAAGTTGTTTTTGCATTGGATTGTTTCTGGCAATAAAAAATGGATTCACTACGATAACCTTAAGCAAAAGAAATTGTATGTGAAGCCTAGCCAATAATCAAAATCGACAGCGAAGCCAAAAATTCATAGCGCAAAGGTAATGCTTTGTATTTTGTGGGATCAGAAGAGAGTGCTCTATTATAAGCTGTTAAAATCAAGCCATATGATGACGGGATTTCTACCGAACACAGTTAATGCGTTTTGAAGAGAGAAATTGTGAAAAAATATACAGAATATGTGACCAGACACAAAGCCATAATCTTCCACCATGCAGTGCTTGGCCTCATGTTGCAAGACTGGTTAAAAACTATTTGGAAAACATTGGCTGAGAAGTACTACCTCACCTGCCTTATAGTCCAGGCATAGCCCCTTCTGACTAGCACTTAATCCGATTGATGCAGAATGTCCTCATCGGAATATGCTTCACTTCATTTAATGGTATCAAAAATTGGCTTGATTTATTCTTGGCTGCCAAGACGAAGAAGTTATTTCAGGATGGAATGCACAACCTGCCAGAACGATGGGCAAATGTCATAGCATTCGATGGACAATACTCTGAACATTGAATGTATAACCATTTTTTCACAAAAAAACCTCAATTTTCAAAAAAAAACTGCACCGAATTAAGTTATACTCCAAATATATATATATATATATATATATATATATATATATATATATATATATATATATATATATATATATATATATATATACATATATATATATATATATATATATATATATATATATATATATATATATATATATATATATATATATATATATATATGTATATATGTATATATATATATATATATATATATATATATATATATATATATATATATATATATATATATATATATATACATACACACACAAACACACGCACATATATATACTTAAAATGTATACATATACTTAGATAAAAATGAACTATTCAAAATAAAGTATTTTTTTAACATTAAATTAACAAATAAAGATGATATCAATTTTAAAATAAAGATTTTGATTATAAAAACATTTCAATGTTGTTTTAACTTTGTGGTTTTATGTTATTTTAATGACTTCATGATTTAGTATCTCTATTAGATTGAACATAAAAAGGATCACGAGTCTTCATTAACTGCTGCAATTGCAAATAGTCAGGATGATTGTTATCAAAAGAGTTTCCCTAAAAATTGAAATGATCTTAGCAAGAAACTATTTAGAGAAAAAAAACCATAACATTTAAATTAAAACAGTTTTTTTAAAAAAAGAAGCCTACTTGTAAAGAAAGTCTCATCAAACCGAGGGCTACATTTTTATTCATTTCTTGTGCAATAGCAGCTTGATACTTAATAGCTTCAAGTAAAGAAACCAAACCAATATTTGTTATTTTATTTCCTATCAAAGAAATATTGTTACTAGTAACTCTCATTTTTAAATATTTCATAGCTAAATTTATTAAGTTTCACTGTTATCTAAAATAAAGTAAATTTAAAATACTTAACACCTAAAGTCAAATAAAAAATAATTAGGCATTTAAAAATTTAGGCTGTGTAAAACTTACAACCTCATTTTTTGAAAGAATTTTTATCGATGGAAATTGTACAAGGTTGTTTTATCTTTCTTGTTGTTTTGCATGCACTTTCAAAAAGATAATTTATGAACAAAATCAGAGCTATAATATATATGTGTTGAAAATAAAACTACATGAAACTACTATTAGTTTCATGCTATTTTACCATCAGGTAAAGTATAAGGCTTTTTTTTTGTAATTGTTAAAAATATTTATATACCAAAAATAAACTACGTAAGACTATGAATATCATTTTACTCTATAAAAATAGAGAAGAGATGTTAGGGTTTCTTAGTGCTCCAATAATTCTTTTTCATCTAATCCTTTCCTTGAACAACAGTTCTTTGGAATTTGCTCCCTTTATCTTGTTTTCCTGATTTATATAATTTGCAATCTTCAAAGTCATCTGTTAATCCTTATCTTGCTCTATAAACTTTATCATTCCTCTTCCAGTAACTTCCAAGTTGTTGTTCCAACTCTAATACTTGTTGCATATAACATATATGGTTAGAATTCAATAAATTTGGCTGCATAAAAACTTTTTTAAATATTTATATTTTTTTTCTTTAATTTATAACTATTTCAATATTTCGCTGATCAATCGTGATCAGCTTCATCAGTAAAAACAAGTTTTTAATAAAATCTGCTGACGTCAAATATTTAAAAAGTTTTTTTTTTTTTTTTTGTATTATATTTTGGCTTTTTAGTGTTATCTTTTTAACAGTTTGTTTTTACTATAACGATTTCTTTGTAACCATTTCATTATACCTGATGACGCTGATCACGATAGATCAGTGAAATATTGAAATAATTATATATTAAAGAAAAAATATATATATTTAAAAAAGTTTATACGCTGCCATATTTATTGAATTCTAATCATATTTTAATGTATAACAAGAAAATGACTTTCATTATCTGTAGCTCCAGAATATTGAACTCGAAAAGTCAGAGAGTCACTTGAAATAAGCAAAGCTAAGGTTAGACAGGAGTTGAGAAATGGTGATGGGTTTCTCAATCGGGATAACAGTGATAACGTGACAACTAAAATCTGGAGGCTATTTTTTAATAAAATCTGCTGACGTCAGTTATTTGAAAAGTTAGTGATGTGGTTCTAAATCGGGATGACGGTGATAATGTGACAACAAAAATCTGGGGGTCATTTTTTAATAAAATCTGCTGATGTCAGTTATTTGAAAAGTTTTTTTTTTTTTTTGTATTATATTTTGGCTTTTTAGTGGTTTGTTTTTATTATAACAATTTCTTTGTAACTATTTTATTATACCTGATGACACTGATCACGATAGATCTGCGAAATATTGAAATAATTATATATATATATATATATATATATATATATATTTTTTTTTTTAAACATCTTCGCTTCCAACAAGGCTGCAAGCAACTACTAATTAGTGTTGAAAGTTACTGGAAGAGAAAAGATAAAGATTGTAGATAAAGATAACGATTGACAGACAACTTAAAAGCTTGCAAATTATATTAATCAGGAAAGCAATATGAAGGAAGCAAATTCCAAAGAACTGGTGTTCGAGGAAAAAAACTAGACAAGTAAGAGTTTTTAGAGCACTTAGGAACAGTAACAGAAAAAGGATGAGACTTAATTGAATGACAAGTAACACGAGAGTGAATTTTAGTAGATGGCACAAGAGATGCTAGCTCTTTAGAGCAGTGCCCATTATAGTATTTGTAGAAAAGAGAAAGAGAAGCAGCATTATGGCGATGTGATAATGGTTGAAAGTTAGATGCAAGAGCAGGTCCAACTATGTTTAAAATGCGTTTTTGCACCTTATATTAAGATGTAAAAAAAATATATATATAAAGATGTTAAAAAATATATATATTAAAGATGTAAAAAAATATAAAAATATTAACCATATTTTAACCTATAACAAAAAAATGACTTTTAAAGAATATTATATATATATATATATATATATATATATATATATATATATATATATATATATATATATATATATATATATATATATATATATATATATATATATATATGTATATAATATATATATATATATATAATATATATATATAATATATATACAATATATATATATACAGGGCTTGTGACGAATAAAATCGTCAAGCGTGTTATATCGCGCTCGTAAAATTAAAATATGTTTTCATCAAGCGTGATTATGTGCGCTCGAGATAACGTCGACGAGCGCGATCATGAATATTGCTGAAGAAGATCTTTTTTTATTTGTTACATCATTCTTTCGTCGACAAATGTTATAATTAGTATCACACTCATGAAATAACACTCTTGTATATTGTCAGATCGGGATTTTTTTTTAACTATTTATGTTATAAAAAAAAATATATCAAACAAAAACACAACTTCTTGTTGATTTAGTATTGAAGTATAATTTAGTGACTTTTTTATAATTTAGTGCCTTTTTTTGTTTCGTTGTTTTGATATATGTATTTAAAAATAGTTTTTATATTTCTTGATATTTTTTATTCAAATTAATTTATTTCTAAAATTTCTTTTTTAAATTACGATTTTTTTATCTTAAAAAAATAACACAAGAAAGTTTGAAAATCTTTTTTTTTTTTAAACTATTTATTATAGGTTAAATAACAGATTTTCTCCTCAACTGTTGTCAACGGTGTTTCCTCTTCTACATTTTCGAAACTGAATGCAGCTAATTCGTCACTCATATCTGGTAACTTCAGTTCTAAAGTCTATTACCTCTTGAACTTTACATTTAATAAATGTTGACAACATTACTTTGTTTCCTTTTGGAATGTCATTGATTGCGGACATTCTAAACAACAGAATCGTTTTAAATTTGAGTTAAAATAAATAATAGTTAATAAAAAACTTATACTATAAACAAAAACTAATTTAAAAAATTACTGAATCATTATTATTTATTTTTATTATAAACGATGTATGGAATATTACAAACAATAAATCAAATAAATCTTACTTGATGTATTCACAAGATTAAAAATATTCTGCAGTTTCAATTTTCTTATAATGATTTACTAATTTTTTATTATTTTATTTGTGCATTTTTGTATTTGCATTGAATTTCTACATGCACATTCCATCAATGAAATTAGTGCCTATTAATGACTTCAAACTGCTCATTCATTAGGTTAGTGCAAAAAAGAACAACGTAGTGCTTTTTTTATTTTATATTATATTAGTGCTTCGATAATATAAAATCTTTATTAAAAAATCTTTTTTTCATATTTTATGAAAATAAAAAAAAAAGTTATTATTTGTTTTGCCCTGAACTCATGGACGAGCGTTATTTTATACGCTCGTTATAAGCTGAACGAGCGTTGTTTATCGCGCCTGGAACATTTCAAAATACCATTTACGAGCGCGTTTCACGAGCGAAGCGCGATGATGAATCGCGCTCGATTCATCACAAGCCCTGCATATATATATATATATATATATATATATATATATATATATATATATATATATATATATATATATATATATATATATATATATATTTATATTTATATATATATTTATATATATAAATTTAAGAAATAAATTGATAGGTACATATCAAAATTAATATTTAAATATTAAACCTATATTAAAAAAGTCATTTTAAATTTAAACAAAGACAGATATATTACTTGAAAGATTTAATATTATTAGAGAACGATTCCCTGGAATCCAAAGCTCTTTGTTAATACTATTTACTTTCTCTAATAGTGGATTCTTAAATTCATATAGATCCTGAATTAAAAAAAAAGCATATATATATATATATATATATATATATATATATATATATATATATATATATATATATATATATATATATATATATATATATATACATATATATATATATATATACATATATATATATATATACATAATATATACATAATATATATATATATATATATATATATATATATATATATATATATATATATATATATATATATATATATATATATATATATATATATATATATATATATATATATATATATATATATATATATATATATATATATATATATATATATAGTACATTTATAATTGAATTACAACAACAAGAAGAATAAACAAAAATCTACTTCTACATCTGGCTGAGGTGTTTTGACAAGGTGGTCTGTCTTTGCACTTTTATTTTTACTAGTTTTTGGATTTTTTGAAGCATCTATACTTGATGAACCTTAATAAGTTAACTTTCTATTTAAAAACCTTTAATAATCATTACAATAATATACAATACTGATAAAAATCATCGATAATAATAATAATAAAACAGGTTTTAAAGTAAAGGGGGGAGCAATCGTTAATTTCTAGAAAAAGTCTTCTTTATCTTGAAATTTCAAAACAAAAACAAAAAAAAAAAGAGTCTTAGAATTAGAGGGGCAAATAAATTAGTAGAAAAACAGTTACAACCATTATACCTCTTTTAATGGAATCTTTTACTGGAGTTTTTTTTTTAATTTTTTTTTTATCTTCTTGTTTGCTGAAACTTCTCGATGATTGATCATGCTCTGTTGAAATTGAACTTGAAGGACTAACTGCTAAATCGTCATTACTAAAAGATGAAAGTAACATGCGCCTTGCAACAACTTGCTCATGAGTCAATGGAAATGTCGATAATGACTAGCAGTAATGCAAAATATTAAACAAAAATTGCGTACAATAATTATTTTTAATAACAAAAAGTATTTTGAACAGTTACTACAAAAGATATAAATGAGATATCTTTTGTAGTAACTGAGATTTAAAATTGTCTTCATTTTATTGCACAGACAAGCTCAAGTTGAATGAGGATTTAGAAGCAACAAATATCTGATTGTTGACAATATGTCATAACCTCTTTATGTACTATTTAAGAATATCTCACATTTCTTAGCATCTTAGCAACCTTAACATCCGCTAAGGTTGCTTCTCTTTATTGTCCTTGCCATTTTCTTACTCTTGATTCCATTCTCTACCTCTACAAATCTCTCATTCATCCCTGTATGGAATACTGTTGTCAGGTTAGGGCTGGTTCTTCTAATAATGCTCTTTCTCTTCTACATAAGGTACAAAAACGCATTGTAAATGTAGCTGGAACCATTCTATCTACAAATACTATCATGGTTGCTCAAAGGGGCTATCATCTTTAGTTCCATCAACTAAAACATGTTTTATAGCTTTAAAAACTTTTATTCTTCTAGTTTTTTTTTCCCCTTTGGAACTCTCTCCCATCTTCATATTTTCCTGACTCATACATCCTAAAACTGTTCAACTCTTTTGTCAATCGTTTCCTTACTCTGTAACTTTATTCATTTTTTTTATTCTAGTAACTCTCAACTTGATGTGTCATAAACTTCATGAATTTTTATGGCACATGAAGTTGATAGTAATAAGATAATACTTGTTTGACCTTTGAAACTTTAGGAAAAACACAAAATAAACTTTATTCTAAATACTTTTGTTCATACTCCAAAAAAAAACTTTACCCTTTTGACCTTTGATAAAATATAATAAACAGTTTTGAATTTTAACGAATACTTTGTTTGTTCATTACTTCAAACCTTTGTTTGTTTGTTTGTTACTTCCAAATTTATGTTTATTATAAGTAATTATTTTTTTTGTTTATTAGAAGCTATAAAAAATTGAAAAATTTATATTAAATTATTAGTTGGTTGCAAATGTTCATAATATTTGAGTGTGTTGTGATGTTATAACTAACAGTAAATTTATAAAGGATGAGTATTGTATAATAGTTTTATAACACAGACTACTTCAACATTTAAAATTTTTCTTTCAACAACAAAGAATATACTTGTTACAAATCAAATAACAAGGTAGCTGCTTAATAATTACTGAAAAATAAATTTTTTTTCTACAAACTACGTTAGAACTATGTCTACTTTTATATTTCCAATTGACTATTATGATTTACGCATAATAGTTTTATGCAGACAATAAAGATATGATTAATAAGCATTTGTAGGAAACATGTTTAATATTGAATGGGTAAAATCATTCCTAAGAGAAATAAACAATTAAGAGTTAGATTTCTAAGTAAAAAAAAAGATAGCAGAGGCAGGTACTGTTGTTACTATTAACTTTGATAATATCACTCCTAAAATGGCTTGGTAAATGAAATATTTGCAATTATGATGAAATTAATTTAACTTATGACCTTGATAATAATTATAATAACAAAGTAACTTGTTATAACAAAGCAAGGATCTAAATATCCTGAGAGTATAACTAACTCAACAAAGTCAGCTAGACTTTTTGTGTATTGTGAAAATACTGATCAAAATATAACCAGTCAAAGAGTGGGTGGTTTGACTTCAGCTATTTTACAGATTGGTTTGAATCTTTAATATTGCCCAACTAAAAGTAACTCCTGGAACACATATTATAATTAGAGACAATTTGTAATTACATATAAATACATATGTATATATAAATACATATGTCTTTGTGTGAAGAAAACAACTTCAAATTATTATTTTTTAAATTCAAATTATTATATTTTTATGTCAATTTATTAATATTAAAAATATTAACAAACTGAAATAAAAGCAGGAAAAAATGTAAAGCCCCTTTGCTTCCAAAAGACCAGTTTCCAACATTGTTTAAATGTCTCCAGAATAAAATTGAAGAACCTGGTTCAGGGTTACCACTATTAAATAAGAATTTTAAGGAGATTTAAGAAGACATTTTCCTAATTTTTATAGAGATTTGGTCACAAAAAACAGTTTTAAAAAAAAAGAACTAAGAAGAAAACTATTATATTAGGAGTCTTTCTTTTTTCAATGATTTTTAAATTTAAACAAATAACTAAATAAACAGAAATGAATTTAACAAATTATATATATATATATATATATATATATATATATATATATATATATATATATATATATATATATATATATATATATATATATATATATATATATATATATATATATATATATATGTATATATATATATATATATATTTAACATATAGCTTCTCTTGAGACTGGTATTTTGTTAGCATCTCTTTTGAATGCATCAGATTTTGATATACTAGTTTTAATACCATCTAAATACATAAAAATCATTAAATAATGACCTTATATTTAGTAATATGACCTAAAAAACTATCCATATTCAAGGTAAAAATCTAAGACTATCCTTTTTACACCATGGAATTCAAACTACTCAGATTTTTTAAATCCTCACTCACAGATCTGTCAAACTTTAGTATTGACTGTGTCAACATCCTCTATTTTTATTTTGCTTTAATTTTTTTCTTTTTTCATCAAATACTCTGCAGACAGACAAGCCTGCACACAGGGATTTTGATTGTTGATCGTAAAACTTTTCTTACCTAAAAATCTTTTGTTATTACATATTCATCTGCCATAAACCTATATAATGTGAGGTCATCTTTGGGTAGCATATAAATAAATAATGAAATATTGTCATCAATCAGATATTTGTTGTTCCTAAATTAAATCATTTAAATTTGAACTTGTCTGTGCAATAAAATGAGGACAATTTTGAAAACGTGCTGTAGATTAGCATATATCTTTAAATCATTGTATTTTTCTTATAAGCAACAAGCTTCACCAACAGTTTGTTGATGTATTTCTGAAACAAATCAGACAGAGAACAACCAGTAAAGACAATGGGCTTTTCTTAGTGAAATGAATACACATTGAAATATATAACAAAAGAAACAAACAAACTTTGCATCTTACATAGCTTGGGTTGACTTTTCTGAAAAAAGATATGTAATTATCATTACTTAACCTAACTTCCTGGAAACTATTTTATATTTAGGCATCTTTTATTTTTAGTCAAGGTCATCTATATATATATATACATACAAACAGGTGCGTGCGTGAAACTTTTTAAAACAAAATGAAGATAGGATCTGTCCCTACTGTCAACCTAGAAGTGTTTGAGGTCAGCAAAAAATTGTCGAACTTGTTTCTATGTTTTATGGTAAAACTTTCAAATCAAATTTTTTTTACCAACCTGATGCTGACCTCTGACAGATTAAAATTGGCCAATTATTTCCGATCTCCTTTTTCCTAATTCCAAGGGCTGCTTAAACATGTAAATATAGATAATATATTGACTTTAATTATTTACTTTTTAAAATTGATAAACAGTAACATAGTTTGATGATTGATGCATAGGTTTTTTATTTTAGATATTAATAAGGTTGCTTTTTCTTAGTCATTTATAACTTAAATAAATTTGTAATTTAGTTTCAAGTTGTATAAATGTAAAATATTTATAAAAATAAAACCTGAACCAAAAATAAAACTATTTAGAATAAACAATTTTAATTTACTAATTTTGTTATTCCATATTATCAGAAATGTAACAGGATTCCTTGTTTTTTATGATTTGCAATTAATTTTATGATCTGCAAATAATTTTTTTCCTTCAGATGTAAAATATTTTTTTAAAATAAAGTAATATTGTGAGAAATACATTTTTTGAAATATAATACCTGAGAAAAACTAAGAGCACCATCATCAGATATATTATTACTTGCAAGATTTAAAGATAGTAAACTTCTATTCATGCGCAACGCCTACATTTTAAAAAACTAAATAAAGACTTCAAAAATATAAGACAATTTCATGATATATATATATATATATATATATATATATATATATATATATATATATATATATATATATATATATATATATATATATAAGAATATAAGACAATTTCATGATATATATATATATATATATATATATATATATATATATATATATATATATATATATATATAGTATATATATATATATATATATATATTTATATATATATATATATATATATATATATATATATATATATATATATATATATATATATATAAGAATATAAGACAATTTCATGATATATATATATATATATATATATATATATATATATATATATATATATATATATATATATATATATGTATATATATATATATATATATATATTTATATATATATATATATATATATATATATATATATATATATATATATATATATATATATATATATATATATATATATATATATATATATATATATATATATATATATATATATATATATATATATATATATATATATATATATATATATATATATATATATATATATATATATATATAATTCTTTAAGAAGGCAATAACCTGCAGTACAATTTTTTTCATACATTTTTTTTTAAGCTAATAAAATCTCATACTGTCTATACTTAATTATATATTACATTCCACTATATAATATTTGCAATAGAATTTGTTATTATAATTAAATCATTTACTAGCTATTTTCTATAATAATTTTATAGGATAACTTTATTATAATTCTTATAACAGCAGAATAACTTTGCTAATTTTTATAATTAAAACGAATAAATATATTATAAAAACATTTAACAATAGATATAAAAAAAAATTCAATGATTTTTTTTGTTAGTAATTATAACATATTGGTTTAATTAACCTTTCTCAATTGTATTTAACCCATCTTAAACTTATACTGTGCAGTATGTCAAATGCAGTCTCTATAACTTGTATTTAAATTTGCCATGTTGCACGACAAATGGTATAGGCAGGTGGTATTACAAAAATAAAATTTCTCAAAAAAAATAAGCATAATTTACATAAAACAGCACAAATCATATTTAATATAAAATAAAATTGTAAGTAATATATAACAAACAATAAACTTTAACTTATATATATTTTTGCTCCAACAATAACTAATATTTTGACTCTAATATAAAACTTCACTCAGATACAGAGATTTAAAAAAAATGAGCTTCAGATTTCCCAACATGGTGTTTAAAAAAGTAGAGTAGATTTTCTACCTGAACTTGACCCCATCACACCTTTTCCAGAAAGCATATCTCTAAGTATTTAATATGGAAAAGGATACAACAATACTGCTTTACACAAAAATGTTGAAGATAATGATCTGAGGTGGTTTACTGTACTAAATACTTTAAAAATAGTTTAAATCAAATATATTCTTTTTGTCTTATATTAGGAAGAGAAAAAAAATGCTTAATTTCAGCTGACTACATGGTTAATTATTATTAACCTATTGCAAAAAAGTTAACAAACATGAACAATTTTTCTGATTATTTAAGAAGTCTTTGTGATTGAATTTATATTGAAGAATTAATAAAAATTATTTTCTGCTTTGAAGTTAAAAATAAAGATATTAACAATAAAAATTTCAGTTTTTTTTTATATGAATACAAACCAATTTTAATTAAAAATGTACAAAAAAAAAGTAAAAAACTGTGGTAACCATTCATATTTTAACATAAATTTATTTTGAATACTAATAATAAATAATATAAATATAAATCATAATAAATTGGATATTAATTAACTTTTCAGCAAATATTTCCCTGTAATTGTACAAACCTTTATTATAAAAACTGCGTGTTTACTGTAGCAAGATTTTTTTTTGATACAAAAAGTAAAATAAAACTGAAGAGATGTTTCCAGATTTATAACATAATGATTTGGTATTAATTTAATTCACTTACTTTTAATAAAAATTGTATCAACCTTCTCTAACCTCATGAAATATTTATAAGATATTTACACAATTACAACATTAACTTACTTTTGCAATATAAGAGCCACCAATATCAGTTATCTTATTAAAACAAAGATTTAATGTAAGCAGTGATTTGTTAATTAAAAGTGCATCAGAAATGAGCTTTGCTGCTGAGTCGTCCAGATTGCAACATCTCAATGATAAGTTTTGTAAACTTTGAAAAATATATAAAATAAAAAATATTCCAAACCCATAAGGGCTTTAAAACAATTTTGTTATGTGGACATAACATACTTACACTGATTTCTCGGTTATGAACATATCGAATCTTTGATTACTTATGTTGTTGTTACCATCTAACCGAAGGGTTCTAAAAATATATCTTAGTTTTAAAAAGTTTTTCTAGAAATATAAACAATCATATGGTCAAATATAGTTGCATTAAAAACCAATGAAATGATAATAATAACAAAATTAATTATTACCAAAAACACATTTATTTAATTATGATTAAATTTAGAAAAACAAGAAAACAACTTAAAATATTTATACAAAATTTTATTATAAAAAATAGTGAAACCAAAAATCATTTCAAAAGAGAAAGAACAAATCAAAATATAATCTATATTTTAAAAAGACTTGAAACTTCGTTAGTCTGTTTCTGATAAAAATTGTACTGGTCACCTGACATGTTAAACTGAGAAAAGAAAGCCAAACTAAAGAAACCTTTCAACAATTAAAAAGTGTCAATTGAAGCAAATTAGGTTCGATGTAAAAAAAGAACATTCAATACAAAAAATATTTTAAAAACATACAATTGAACAGTAATTATAAGAAATTATAAGTAATTATAAGCAAAAAAAAAATATTGAAAACTTGTTGTTCAGATACAAAATCAATTCTGTTTATCAATAATGAAAAATACTTTTGTGTTTGTAGGTGATAACATGCCTAGGAATTCTGGATACTAAGCAAACAACAAATAAACATGCCTGGAAAGTAATTGGTTTGTAGAAAAAATAAATTTAAAAAAAAGTATATTAATGCCAATATTGTATTAAAAAGCTTCGTGATGTTTTCTTCAATGTCTATGTAGGTAACTGAGTCAACTTCTGGGTACACAGGCAAGCATAGATCTTCCAGTGCAGAATAGATCTGTGGTGGCAAACATGTTAAGATTATTGTTTTGCTCTTGAACTCGGGCGCTTCCATTGCAGTTATGTATGTTCCTAGTTGGCAGACAAACCGCTGATGGTTGTCATTGAATACTGGTGGCATAATAGCAGAAACAGCTTGTTGAATCATCACGTCCATGAATTTAATTAAAACAAAATATTTTTATAGTTTTCTTTTTACCTTACTAACTCTACACAAAAATCTTCTTACTATGGTATGTCTAAGCTATTGTTTCATACTTCTAAAACTGTAACAGTCAATAGAAAAACTTTATTTTTATTTAAAAAAATTAAAAAAAACTTTTTCATTCAATCACTAGCAACAAAATAAGTTTTAATTCAAAATTAAAATTTTAGAAAAATCTGAGAAGTTTTTTTTTTTTTAATAATATAGGTAATAATGTCTTCTTTTTGTCTAATAACTTATGAACCATCTGCTTCATCAAATGCATACATAAAAAAAGCCTAACATAAAAAAAATATTCAACTAAGCATGAAAAATTGTCAGGCTTTAAAAAATATTTAAATCAGGAGCAAGTAGCAAAAATAGCAGAACTAATATCGCCAAAATTAATAAGGACAAAAATTAACAAACCTAAAGCAGCAAGGGCTGAAATAAAGACCAAAAAGTTTTAGTGAAGTTAGAATTTAAAAAATAATCAGTTATCCAAAATTTAAACCTTTGAACTGCTTTTTTTTAACTTCAATTGTTGTATATTCTATATTGTACAAATGTTATTACTAATTTTGTAAAAGAAACTATGTTACTATACAATTTTTATTGTTAAAATTGCCACTATAAAAACATTAAAATGTTTTTATAATTTAAACTATAATCTAGTTTTTGTACTTTAACTACTTTTAATTATGCTTTATATTTAAACCTAACCCCTTAACTATTTTTTTAAAACTTCAATGAATTAAATTTGTTCCTCTTTTATCTTAAACTGTATTTAAGATAAAACACAGTTTAAGATTACAAAAGTTTCACACTGCAGTTGTTCAAAGGATAAAAAAAGATAAAAAGATGTAACTCATAACTAAAATCTATAAAGATAATAATAAATGCATTTAACAAAAATTATACCGAAGTGAAGTCAATGTATTAAGACAAATTGCCAAATCATTTAATGTGTGGTCATCTAGTCCTGTGTTCCAAAAACTAAAAAAAAAATAATGTTTAGAATAAAAGACAAAAGTATTTTTTAAAACAAATTATCAAAATTCTGCAAGAAATTTTTTTGCCTTTGTCACTCACTCAATCAAGTTAATTTTCTCCAAATCAGGTATAGTTGCAGTTAAAATAGTAACAAATTTTTTATCTAACTTCCATCCTAAAAAATCAAATAATATTTCTCTTGCAAATGATTCGTCACAATGTATTTCATAGAAACAACATAAACTAACTCTCCCTTTGTTTATCTTCTCAAACCTCATATAAAATTCCAATGAATATATTACATATATACAATATTAGCCTAATAATGTCTTCATAAATAAAATTGTTTTAAGTAATCTAAAAATTCCTTGGTTGTATTTATAAACACATATAAAATTTAGTAATTTTATAATGTACAACTATAAGTCTTTAACATCATAATTAGAAGTGAATTATTAAATACATAACTATTTTGTTTATCTCACATTTAGTCAATCAAAAGACTTAACAACGCAATGTTTTAATAGTAAGTTTTGAATTAAAAAACTTATTTTAATTTTTGATGTTTTAGGATTTAACTATGACCTTTATTGCAAAAATTCACACATTAAAAAGACTATTAAATGACAAAATAAGACTTTTTTCAACTGTCACTAGTTTTGCCAACTATGTCATTTGTGATTTTTTTGTTATATCCTTGGTTATTTTAGCAGTACTGCAAAAAAAAAAATCCATGCAAAGATCGTAAAAAAATAACCACAAATAAAAACACATTATTGGCATAAATAACCGCAAACAAAAACACATTGTTGGCAAATATAACCACAAAGAAAAACACATTATTGGCATAAATAACCACAAATAAAAACATATTATTGGCATACATAACCACAAATAAAAATACTACTCAAATAAAAATCATAAATAAATCATTTTTATAAATATGTTTTATCAAAAAAAATTGGTTTTAGCTACATTTGGAACATTAGGCTGATTTAAGTTTTTTTATTAAATTTTTTTAAATGTAAATTCATCTACCCAAGATTGAGAAGGCTACTACAGACAAGGAGGCTATTTAATTGTGTTTATAACCCTCTCTCAACCCTATAACTTTAAAACATAAACCTTGACAAACAAGGCCGCTGCATGGAAAAACAAGTTGAGCGCGGTACTACCAGGGACATGGTAATGATCGAACTCGGAACCTCTTGGTTATGAAGCAAGCGCTTTACCACTATTGCATAACCATAGGCGTGAACTATAAACTTAATTTTAATCATAAGCATGAACTAAAAACCTAACTTTCTCACTTTGATTTCAAATGTGCAACTCATTTTTTTACCATTACGTCAAGTTGTAAAGATATTTCAGTTCAAATCTTTAGCATTTGGGGTAAAATCCCTAATATTGTAATATTGTGAAAATTATTTAAAAGTATAATTATAAATTAAATACTGCTAAACTTATTTGAGGAAAAAGTTTCCAGATAGTTAACAAAAGTAACGCTACATTAGAGCAGTTTAAAAATGAATCAAAATGATTACACAGGTCAACAACAACAAAACTTTTTTCCTGGTGTCAAACAAACAAAATGTTTTTCGAGTAAAATTTATCATTTTGATTTCGAATAAGCAACTTTTTTTCACCATCAAGTCAAGTTGTAAAGACATTTGGATTTAAATCTTAAGCATTTGGGGTAAAATCCAGAATATTGTTAAAAACAAAAGCATATTTTCATAGGGATTTTAGAAAACATAAATATTTTTACTTCAAATTTATTGACAAAAAATAATTGTGAAAAAATTCTAAAGACACTTAAAACAATAAACAAAATATTTCTCAGCAAAAATAAAAAAACTTATTTTTATTACAAACAAATACTGCTGTTCAAATATCTGAAAATACACTTCGTTTGGGACCCAGGTTGACATACTTTTAAATAAATCCTTTTTTTAACCCTAAATGCTAAAGGTTTGAACCCAAATATCTTTACAACTTGATGTGATGGTGAAAATGAGCATATTTGAAATCAAAATGAGAAATGCAATAGGAAAAAATGCATTGTTTGCCGAACATCATAAACATTTTTTTTTTGTTGTTAACCGGTATAATTAACCAAGATCTTACGTTATATATTATTTTAGCAATTACACAACCTGAGTAACTACCCAAGTTAAATAACCTGAGTAATTACATAGATTTTTAAATAACCTGAGTAACTCCACAGGGTGTTAAACAACTTATATTATAAATTAAGTGATAATTTATAATACAAGTAATTCAAATAGTATAATTTATATTCAGTTTTTTTGCAAAATAAATCATAATGGTACATTAATGATTTAATAACCATACAAAAAAAAAAGCAATGTTTTCAATTGTTCATACCCCTCACATGCAGTTCTTTGACTACTTTTTTGCCACCATCATCCTCAACAGTAATATCAACTTTTAACTTTTTATTTTTATCAGATATAATGCCACTTGAATTAACATCTTGAGGTAGAATTAACTTCTTGTCTGTTTTTAAATGCTTATATACAATTAATAGAAATTTTAACATTTAATAAATAATAATAACTAAAAAACTAAACATTTAAAAATTTACAACACAGACCATCTAATATATATATATATATATATATATATATATATATATATATATATATATATATATATATATATATATATATATATATATATACATATATATATAACCAGAAAATATATAAAAGAAAAAAAAATACAACCTTCTCTATTTTTGCTTATGTCAGCAATTGCAACAGATTTAGATGAAAAATGGGTGGAGTCAAGAGTACTACAAACTGATGGAAGATCGAGCAAGAAACATAGCTCTGTGAAATCTTTTTCAAAATTTCCGTTTGGTTGATACTTCTCTGGTAAGAATTTTTAAACAATTTTAAATAAAGTACACTCTGTAACTAAAAAGAACACTCCACATTAAAATAAGGTTAGATTTAGGTTAGAAAAAAATCAATTCAAGTTATTCATTTTTAAAACAAGTTATTTCAAAGTTTGCTAAAACAATTATAACTGTGTCAGTATATTTCAACCAATTTAAAGAAAACTTTGAGGAACACCATTTCTGGTTTACTTAATTTTTAGATCATTATTTCCACTATATAGAAAGGTTAAGAAATTAAAGTCTTATAAAATTATATACAGTGATCTCCTTCAATTTACCAATGGTAAAAACAGACAACTTTAAAGCCTTATAACGTTTTTCTGATTTCCAAAAACTCTCACTTATTCAAGAAATATTTTCTGAACTGTTCTGTCTTATAAATAGTTTCTTTATTAACTTCAGAAAATTTTTTATTAACTTCAGAAAAAAATAACATCCAACTTAACTTTGAAAATATCTGAATATCTAAAAAATGCTAAAAACAGCTGAAATAAAGTTAATTGCAGTACTTTTATAAACACATGATAAAATTAAAAGTTTGAATGTGTTGATAAAAACATTCAAATTTGTATGTTTAAATGTTTCTATCAACACATTCAAAAAAAGATAAAATGAATTATCACATAATAATTGTTTTCAAAAATCAGCTAATTATCGATTAGAAAATAAAAGCCAAAACTAATAAAAAAAAGTCATTTGTAACAATGTCTGGTTTTTTTCTTTAAGAACTTTTTTATTATAAAACTTTTTAATACTCCTGATATATTAGAAGAAATATTTTAATAAAGCTTAAACTGGTTAATATTTTATATCTTATTTTAAAAAATGACTTCAGATAGGCAAGTAGGCAAACAAGAGGAACACTGGTTTCCAACAATTCATTTAATTTTGCCAAAATGAAAAAAAATGGTGCTAATTTTGCTGCAAACACAATAATTTAAAAATATTTGCATTTTAATACAATTGGACCTAAGGTCTTATTTCCTATTATTATTAGATAACATAATGCGTTAGAAATTTACAAACTCAAAATGGCTAAAAAATGATTTAAAGTTAATAGACAATATACTTTTAGGTACATATATATAATAAGCTTCTTAAATATTGCTTATTTTATGCAGACAAGTGTAGCTACTCAGAAATCTAACATGAAAGGTTATACTGATAAATAGAAAAATACTACAGTTAAATTCATTTTGACTGTTTAAGCATTTTTCAAATTTTTTCAACAATGAGAATGTTATCATTTTTTTAGTAATACAAATTACTACTTTTAAGACAGAATTATATAAAAAATAGTTCTAGAAAAAATAAGGCACTTGTTAAAAATTAGGTGTATAAAGGCTATAATTTCTAAACTGTTGCACTTAGAAGTCTAAAATTTTAAATTTAATTTGTATAAATAATGCAACAACAATATCTAAAAATCAGGAAAATCAACTTTTCAATCAAAAGTTGAAATATAATGAACTGATCCAAAGTTAAAAAAAGTTAAAAAGTTATGTTTATTAAATTAATTTAAGTTTATTATCAAACTATTTATATGGTTATTTTTAAAATTAAGTTAAGTTTTTATTTTAAATAAATGTTCATAAAGATTACTTTATAAAATTATTTTGAATAAATTTTTAACATCGTAACTTGATTTTTTTGCAAAGGTTTTATAATTGATAAATTAAAAGATGGTTTAACTTTAAACACAACTTAAACTGTTTTATAAACTAAGCATTGGACCTGGTTTTTTTAAGAGCATCAAAAAAAAAAAAAAGAAAGTTGAAGCATAAAAAAAAATTTAGAAATTACAATTAATTTATTTTTTTAGATTTAAAAAAAAATATTTATTAATAATTCGTCGCAATAATTATAAAAACAACTTATTTATTACACTAAAAGAAAAAGCTAAATCTAATAACTACAAAAAGTCAAACATAATTTAAAACTTAACCAACCAAACAATGCTTTTTTTTCATCACTGGAAAGTATTTTATTATAGATCTTTGGCTCCTGAATTGATAGGGGTTGTGTAGTTGGTGCTTGCTGTGCAGATGTTGTTGAAATTGCTGGAGCAGGAACTTTCCCTGATTTATCCAAATTTTTTTTAGCCATATTTTAATACTTTTCTAGAATGTCAAATATCAATGCAAAAGTAAAAATGGGAGTAACATTTCCACAGAAAATTTTAAACTTAAATAAACACCTAGAAATTAAAATTTTAACAATTTAGATATCATTTTATCAATTTTGTGCAAAAACAATTATATTTTCAAGCAAATTTTTAACTGATGAAAATTGTTTTTACACATAAATACTTTTTTGAAATTCTATTATACATGAGTTTACTGTTCACTTATGAAAAATTCAGTCAATTAATAATTTATTTATAATTAACTATTTTATTAGAGCTCATTTATCTTTTTAAATTAAACATAATAAATAAAGTAAATATATAATAAAAAAAAAATTATCAAAATTCAAAAAATAGTATAAATCACAGTTTTTACAAATCAGTTAATGATATCAGGTTATGGAATGATGGAGAGTGATTGCTAGTGTGATAATAAATTGGTTAGAGAGTTAGCAAAAAATTTGCTATTAAACTACTTTTTTTTTAATTAGTTATGTAATGAATTTTGCTTTTAGAAAGAGTAGTAGAGTTCAGTTATTTATAAAACAAAATTTAACCTAATGGAAAGATTTTAACATGGGTTCAACTATAATATTCACTTTAATTGCATTTAATTATATGTCTTTAGCAAAAATATAATATAAATAAAAATATAAGCTAAATAGCCTAAAGAATTTTAAATCCGATTCGTATCAGAAAAAAGGTACAAAAAAACCTTTTTTTTATAAATATGTAATTTTTACTAAAAATTGCTATTCAATTGAAACAAATTTAAATTTATAAAATTTAAATTCATTCAGATGCTAATCAAGGTAACGATTACATTCAAACCGCCACATCTCGAAGTGTGATTACACAGAGGCCATCTTTATTGGATGTTAAAGACTACCGCTTGAAACCATGAAACCATGGAGATAGTATTTATTAGACATCGCTTTTTAACACCCCCTCTCCCTACCTCCCTCTTTTCTCTATCTCTTATCTTTCCTTTCAATCTAATGCTTTAAAAAATTTCTGATTAAAAAAAAACACTTTGGACATAAAAAATATAAAAAATTACTAATATCAACTTTTATCTTAAGAAATATTTTGTTTTAACTCTATGTTTTTCCGCACTGAAAAATACCTAATTCAAAGTTTTAAACGCGTTTAAAAGCGTTTAAAACTTTGAAAACTACCTAATTCAAAGTTTTAAACGCTTAAGCGTTTAAAACTTTAAATCAGGGGTGGAATGCAAGAAGCGAACTTGAATCAAGCTCGACTTGAACTTTACATTGCAACCAATAGCGACATAGTATGGGTTTTCCTCTTAAAAATACCTAGGTATTTTTCAGTGCAGAAAAACATTTTTTTTTGCATCTTTTGTAAAGCGCTTTACAAAAGATACAAAAAAAAACAGATACTTATTAATTTTTTTAAATTCCTACAATACTTTTTAACAATATTTAATGTGCAAGTGCCTGAAATACCATACCCTGATTTGGACAACAATTTAATATCCTATTTTATTTTTTGTAAAAAAAAAACAAACTAACAAAAAAAAAATAATATAAATTCTTATTTTGTTGAACAAATGTGAAATTATTTATTTTATTAAACTAGGTTTTCATGGGCGCCCGCATAATTTTTTGATGTTTTAGAATGTCATTTTAACGCATTCTGATCTTAAGTTTCATTCAAAAATATTGTAAAGTTTAAAAGTTATGACCATGCAAAACTTGCAAACCCCTCATTTTGTATGTCTGAAATTTTGCATGATCATAAATTTTGGACTTATCAATGTTTTAAATAAAATTTAAGATTTGTTGATGAATTTAATTTGAGTATAGTGTAACAAAGTTGAAAATTTTACATCACTGTTTTTACACTTTGGCAGGGAGGGCCAAAAATTGTGGGGTATTTTTGTTCCTAAGCCTCCATCACCGCGTTTTTTGGTAAAGTATCCTCGTTTAGCATAGACATGAACATACGTTTAGACTTTTTACAATGTCGAAATCCTGCGGGTGCATATATAGGTGTTGTAGATATTTAATGTAAATGTGTCGTTTTGTTACTGATATTAATATTTATTGTTATTTTTATTTACAGAAACAAACATTGTTGAAGATATAAAATGTATATGGTCGGATACAACAACTAACTTTTTTTATTTTTTTATCTATTTTTAACTTTTTTATGTAATAAATATTATAAAACGATAAAAAAACTAAAACAAAAAAGCTGTTAAACTTAAAAAACTAAATGTACTTCATTATTTAAAATGTTTTAAATTTTAGACGACTTCATAATGTCGCTAAATTGTTAAAAACGTTGTTGCTAAAAGAAAACGCTTATAAAGCAGACCAGGAAAAGTTTAAAAACATGAATAAAATTTTATATTTTAATTGATAGATTGCTTGCCATACCTAAACCTCAGTCGACGAAGCGGCTCTTTCCTTATAAAAGCAGGCTATAAGATGTCGATGTTGCAGCACTCTTACTGCACTTCCTTTTAGCAGCAGACTATAAGATAATTAAGCATGGTAGTCAAAAAGTTTCTTCCTAAAACTGTAGTTTTAAATCATGTTGTAAAAATTAAGTCGGTTTGAGATTTTTGTTTGTTTCTGTGTTTTTTTTTTTTTTTTTGAGGAAGGGGGGGGGGAGGAGGGGGAATGTGGATACTCCCATTATTTATTTGATGGCATTTCTCTTTTATATAGCAAATGCTACATTAAAATTAATTCGACAGATAAATATCGAATAAAATCTGAGAAGTAAGTTTCGTCAGTTTCTTGAAACATTCGTTTAGCAGAGTGCTTTGATAAACTGCCAAGCAATTGAATATCAGTGCAATTTCAAACTAAACGCGGCAAATCAATCAATACACTTAATGCACCTTCTCGTGGTGTCAAGAAGTTGAAAAAGAATGAATGCTGAAAAACTAATTAACAACATTATTTATCAGGTGTATCAGTTATATAAAATCAAATAAACTTTTTGTGATTGAAAACTTATAAGCAAATGTTGAATATCTTGATCATGTAACTTCAATAATTTTGATTAGATTGGAACATTAATACATGGTTATCACATACAATATTTCTTATTCTAAAACAGCCGTGTTATGGTTTGAGTTTTGGCTTCAGAACTGGAGGTCCGTGGATCAAAGCCAACCCTGGCTTTATATATATATATATATATATATATATATATATATATATATATATATATATATATATATTATATATATATATATATATATATATATATATATATATATATATATAATTTTAAATCATTGATAAGAAAGAAGTCGTTAACTTCCTGGTTAAACTCTGTTTGGTGGTGCTCTATGATAAGACCGTAAAAAGCACCTTAAAAAAAAAAAGTTAAATAAATCACTCTTAATAAATATCTAAGCAGCTCAAAATCTCATCTTTTAATCACTGGCGATAAGTGTGTGTTTGTGTTGAAAATGTAACAAGAAAATGTATCATGACAATGCCAATGACAAGAAAATGTATCATGCATTATAAAAGGAAGACTTTTATAATGCATCCATAATACATTTTCTTTTAACCCTATTATCATAGATTGTACAATACTTGTATAAAGTTCATTCTTTTTTTTTAAATTAGTTGGTGCCCATCCACAATACTCTCCACTCTTTCAAAATACATTTCATTAAATAAAACAACCCTTTGGTTTGAAACGCAACTTTGGTTCTTTAAAAATCATTGATATTTATATTTTTGAAAGACCTTTTTTAATTTTTCTTGATAGTAAAATTGTAGATAGTAAAAAAATGGTGTTTATATGGAACCTTGATAAGAAATAATAATTAATAAAATTAGCAATTTTTATACAAAATATTTTTATTTTTTTATTTCAGATCACTAGCAAATATTTTAGGAGTGTTTTAGGATGGGTTGGATGTAATGGTGATACTATAAAACACCCTAGTAATATTTTTATCATTATTAAAATGAGTGAAAACAGTATAAAAAAATAAAAGTGGTATTTTATTAGAATGCAAAATAACACACCCCGCGGTCTTCTTAAAAAAAGAATAGTTTTTAATTAAAATTATTATTCTTCTTTAAATAACGAAAAATATAATTCCAAAGTATAATGTAAATATAAGCAAATTTCAGTAAACAAATTGCCAGTATGTTCTCCAATTTTACGGAACATTGATGGAACACTGCATGTAAGCAGATTTAAAACAGGCATGTTATATATTAGTGCTCTATTATATTAATAATATTCATTAGGTTAGACTTTAGCATGTCCGGTAATCTGTTTTTTGTTTTGTATATGCTTCTCTTTTGAAATCAGCAGTTAATTTTTCAAAACTTGAATTTCAGAACTTCTGTCAGAAACTTGATGGGTAAAATCGTTTCTTGATAGGAGAGCTCTGTCTTGAATATCGCCTGCTGCTTTTTTAAGAATTTTACTCTTAAAGAATTTTTTTCATTGGGGTTAACTGGTTACCTTCTTATCTAGAAAGTAGCGAATGCAAAGATAAAGGTGTTTTAAACATTTGTTTTAAACATTTAATCGCGTTTAAACAAGACAAATCAGATATAAGTAAGGAACTTCCATAGGAATTTCCAAGGAAAAATATTTTTAAGCAATTAATAACAATGTTAGAAAACAAACTATTGAGAACTTTTTATTTATTTATGTCTAAAACAATTGAAGACAATTAAAAACTATTAAAGAAATTAGAAAACAAACTATTAAAGTGCCAGCCATTGCAAGGCACTTCTGTCCTGCCATTCAAGAATTATAAGATTTTGCACCTGCAAAAAAAATCAAGAAAATCTTATATTAAGGATAATTAATAATAAAAAATAATTAAAATATATAAAGTATAATTGGTCCTTATATTAAAACAAACATCATTGACCGAATATTTAATAGTTTTTTAAATTTAAAAATTTATCTTTCTGCATTTTGGGAATTTTTGATTGGCAGAACAGACTTCAATACTTTTAAGTTCAGGTTTACCAATAGTTGAGAAAACCAACTTGA